ATTCCGCTCAAATCTGCGTTTCACTTACAAGATGGAGAAGGATGGGAAGCTGCCCTTTCTAGATGTAACAGTCATGGAAAGGAGCGGACGTTTCCACACTGCAGTCTACACTAAGGAAACAAACATAGGAATGTGCCTCAATGCCAACAGTGACTGCCCATGCAGACAGGTACAAGAGGAGTGTTGTTAACGCTTATGTCGACCGTGCTCTCAGTCACAGCTCAGGATGGAAGCAAGTCGACGAAGAACTCTGTAGGGTAAGGCAGGTCCTAGTCAACAACGGCTTCTCCAATGGTTTCGTTGAAGGCATCATAAGAAAGAAAGTGAAACGTCATGCAACCTCTGAAGAGACAACTAACACAACACCTATACCCCCTATTAGACTATTTTACAGGAACTTGTTTTCCACAGCCCATAAAACGGAGGAAAGGGTCCTGAAAGATATTGTCAGTAGAAACGTTATCCCTACAGACAAGAATTAAAAGATACAACTGACAATTTACTATAAAACCCAAAAAAACGGCCAGCCTACTCATGTGAAACTCTCCAGACACAAAGCAGAACCCTTTAAAAGAGACCAACGTCGTCTATGCCTTCAAATGCCCTCTTGGGGACTGTAAGCCTCAAAAAACTCAGTATATAGGCAAGACAACAACATCTCTTTCCAGGCGTTTAACGATGCATAAGCAACAGGGCTCCATTAAGGAACATATAGTCTCTTCCCACAACCAAACCATCACCAGAGAAATCTTAGCAAACAACACAGAAATCATCGATAGATACAGCGATAGCAGACGGCTTGACATCTGCCAGGCACTACACATCAATAAGTCAACACCAGCAATCAACAGCCAATTAATGCACAACTATATTCTAATCACTTCAAGACTCCGCTCCAATATAGAAGCATCAAGAAATATGGGCCAATAAAAATAGGCCTTCTGCAGTTACCTACCTTTAATACCCATTGTTTCGTGTCCTGTCTTGTGTTAAAAGTTTATTTTCACCTCATCCAAAACTGTTGTAACATGTCACGATACCCAAATGTAGGTATAAAAACTCGAAGATGTTTAAGCTCTATTCAGTTAAAGTTGTGTGTGTGTGTGTAAACTAAAGTCTTTGAAAATGTAACAAGTTTTACGATACGCTTGTTACCTATCATTCGTTACGGCTCGTGACCCTACAGCAGCCAAGCTTTAATTTCTCTGATTTTATATCTACATTTGAGTGAGGTGGGAGGGGTGATGTGGCATTAACACAAGACAGAACAAGAGGGGATATTAATAGGGTATTAAAAGTATCAACACAAGACAGAACAGAAACAATGGGTATTGAATAGAAGTGTTTGTAGAAAGCCTATTGGTCCATATTTCTTGATGCTTCTATATTGGAGCGGAGTCTTGAGGTGGGTAGAATATAGTTGTGTAATAATTGGCTGTTGATTGCTGGTGTTGACTTCTTGATGTGTAGTGCCTCGCAAACGTCAAGCCGCCTGCTATCGCTGTATCTATCGATGATTTCTGCGTTGTTTACGCAGAAATCGATAGATACAGCGATAGCAGGCGGCTTGACGTTTGCGAGGCACTACACATCAAGAAGTCAACACCAGCAATCAACAGCCAATTATTACACAACTATATTCTACCCACCTCAAGACTCCGCTCCAATATAGAAGCATCAAGAAATATGGACCAATAGGCTTTCTACAAACACTTCTATTCAATACCCATTGTTTCTGTTCTGTCTTGTGTTGATACTTTTAATACCCTATTAATATCCCCTCTTGTTCTGTCTTGTGTTAATGCCACATCACCCCTCCCACCTCACTCAAATGTAGATATAAAATCAGAGATACGTAAGTTCTAATCAGTTGTGTATTTGTGAAGTCTTTGAAAATGTAATAAGTTTTACGAAACGTGCCCGTGTCGCGTCAGACTAGAAATAAAAATGAATTTTGGAGAAGTGATTTTTGATTTACCTCCAACAGTGAAGCGTAATGTACGAAAGATTGAGAAAATTCGTGTTAGAATTATTAATCTTACTTTTTCGGTCATATTTAATAATATATATATATATATATATATATATATATATATATATATATATATATATATATATATATATATATATATATATATATATATATATATATATATATATATATATATATATATATATATATGTCATACCTAGTAGCCAGAACGCACTTCTCAGCCTACTATGCACGGCCCGATTTGCCTAATAAGCCAAGTTTTCCTGAATTAATATATTTTCTCTAATTTTTTTCTTATGAAATGATAAAGCTACCCATTTCATTATGTATGAGGTCAATTTTTTTTATTGGAGTTAAAATTAACGTAGATATATGACCGAACCTAACCAACCCTACCTAACCTAACCTAACCTATCTTTATAGGTTAGGTTAGGTTAGGTAGGCGAAAAAGTTAGGTTAGGTTAGGTAGGTTAGGTAATCGAAAAACAATTAATTCATGAAAACTTGGCTTATTAGGCAAATCGGGCCTTGCATAGTAGGCTAAGGCAATTTTAACATTTGATGATGTTCTGCTCTAGGACACAGGCTATGGGCGTGACAGTTCTGCTCTAGGACACAGACTGTGGGTGTGACAGTTCTGCTCTAGGACACAGACTGTGGGTGTGACAGTTCTGCTCTAGGACACAGGCTGTGTGTGTGACAGTTCTGCTCTAGGACACAGACTGTGGGTGTGACAGTTCTGCTCTAGGACACAGACTGTGGGTGTGACAGTTCTGCTCTAGGACACAGGCTGTGGGTGTGACAGTTCTGCTCTAGGACACAGGCTGTGGGTGTGACAGTTCTGCTCTAGGACACAGACTGTGTGTGTGACAGTTCTGCTCTAGGACACAGGTTGTAGGTGTGACAGTTCTGCTCTAGGACACAGACTGTGGGTGTGACAGTTCTGCTCTAGGACACAGACTGTGTGTGTGACAGTTCTGCTCTAGGACACAGACTGTGGGTGTGACAGTTCTGCTCTAGGACACAGGCTGTGGGTGTGACAGTTCTGCTCTAGGACACAGGTTGTAGGTGTGACAGTTTTGCTCTAGGACACAGGCTGTGGGTGTGACAGTTCTGCTCTAGGACACAGGCTGTGGATGTGACAGTTCTGCTCTAGGACACAGGTTGTAGGTGTGACAGTTCTGCTTTAGGACACAGGCTGTAGGTGTGACAGTTCTGCTTTAGGACACAGGCTGTAGGTGTGACAGTTCTGCTGCAGGACACATGCCCCTCACCCCAGTTTTCACCAAACGTGTAACAATGAAGAAGGAAAGATCCCGGGCAGGAATCCCAATGTATCACAAGGAAGCACCTTCTCATGCTGCTATTTCCACTGACACTACACTATGTCAAGCCACCCAATAAGGAACTTCCAAGGTTTGCATAAAAAATGTGGAGAAGGAGTTTAGTATCACCAAGATGGGAACTCAGGGCTCAGTAGCCTCCTGTTGTCTCATAATCACACCCTCATACTGAGCTACCGAGAACTTACCCTTCTCTCAATAAACTCAGGTGTTTTCCAATAAAGTTCCCCATATTCTCTCTCTTTATTGTCCGATCCACAGGTCGTGATTATTAACTATCTTTCTTGCATTTAGAACACTCATAGGGCAAGAGCAAACAAGGTTGTCTAACAGACAAACATTTATTACAAAGTAAACAATAATGATTATATGGTGCCTTGGGCGGGTACACCAACTTGTAGCACGTAACTTAGTCACTTGTCTCTTCAACACTTAGTTACTCAACAGCTTAGGATATTATGGCAAGTACGTATATATATATATATATATATATATATATATATATATATATATATATATATATATATATATATATATATATATATATATATATATATATATATATATATATATATATATATATATATATATATATATATATATATATTTGTAGGGGATCTAAACATTCCCTCTAATGCGTTATGCGTGGTTTCCTCCGAGGCTATGGGTCCCGCTTCTTCCAGCTAGAGGTGGTACTCCCTTCTATATTATATATATATATATATATATATATATATATATATATATATATATATATATATATATATATATATATATATATATATATATATATATATATATATTATATATATATATATATATATATATATATATATATATATATATATATATATATATATATATATATATATATATATATCGTATCAATGCAAATTCGTTAACAGTACAATAAACTTGTTATAATCACTATTCATCAGGAACATATATAATACTATAAATCAATACTCAAGTAATACTTAAGAATATAGTACAAAGTTAGTGTCACAGATCACTGTTTCAATAATTGTTATTCTTCATTATGCTCTGTACATCATATTGTGCCTCACTGGGCTACTCCTCTCTTCATCAGTCTTGCTGGGCCTAGGTTACATAGTCATCATCAAACAGGCTTTGGCAGGTAAATCAATAAAAACGAGTCAACACTCTCACCTCTGTTCACCACATCTAGTATACTGATACAATGAACTCATACAAAGAAACAAAGATGTCCCATGATCCCACTGGATTAATCCTCCATATAATCAATTAAACTTCTTTCCTGTCGATTTATCCTCCTGCAAACCAACTGTAGAACCATCAATCAACTGGTCCTCGAATGGATGTGAACTCGTTGCAACCCGTTCTCGCACTTTCTTTTAGTCAATATTGACTTATTAAATAAGTGCATATGTGACATACTAATTTATTGTGAATATTTTAGTTTACCTTGAAGAGCTTCATAGAAAATACCGACCTTACCTAACCTTCTTAGTATGTTAAGATAAGCATCTTATTGCTTCGTAATTACAATTATTACTTAACCTATACCTATAATTGGTTAAGTAATAATTGTAATTATGAAGCAATAAGATGCTTATCTTAACATACTAAGAAGGTTAGGTAAGGTCGGTGTTTTCTATGAAGCTTTTCAAGGTAAACTAAAATATTCACAATAAATTAGTATGTCACTAATGCACTTATTTAACAAGTCAATATTAACTTAAAGAAAGTGCGAGAACGGGTTGTCTAATAGCTACCATACACGAACCTGCAAGTTTACCATAACAAAATAATCCCCTTCCATGAACAAGACAATAATTAAAATAAATTTTCTACTACTCCACCGTACTGGCCTGAATTGTTCTTACCTACTTATGTATTCCTTGTCCATACAAATGTGCCTCATTCGGGATGAGACACATTTTTATGATATTATCTAACATTTAGGGACCGTGCTCCTTCGTACTATAGTGCAGTAGCGTCACTGTCATAAGGATTCTGCTCCACACATTCACTATTGACTACAAACACAGTTCAGTGAGTCTCACCACAACGGTCCACTGAGGTGACATCTGTTACCAGAACTCTCATGTCATCGTGAACAAGACATATAATTTTCCTTACATATTTAAGCCCCTATGATTGCTTGGAATTCTTCTTTGACAAAGACATTGGCAACATTACTAGACATCCTGGCTAAATCCAGAAGCACACTACTCTTCAGACTTGTTGACTTTAATAACTAAAGAGTTATTATTACTTGATTTTATAACTGCCTGAGTAGCTGAGAATTATCTGACAAGCCGGTATTTGCCGTCCTAATGCTAATTGTGCAGTGTCTACTGAAGAGATTCCATCATGTTTGACACAGAGTCCCTTTGTGCGCCATATTTGTGAGGTATTGAAGCAGAAGACGCCTTACTGGTGTGGAAACAACCTCATTGATTCCTCGAACTGGCTGCCTCAGTTCTTACTCTAACCTAGACGTAGCGTATTAATTATATAGCGTCTTAACCCACTTAGGAGGGTCCCGCTTGTTCAGTCGGGTTGGTTTTCGACACACAATCGAGAATTCCAGGTTCGAGTTCCGGGCGAGACAGAAATGATTGGGCACATTTCCTTTCACCTAATTCTGCTGTTCACCTAGCAGTAAGTAGGTACTCAGAAGTTAGTCAGCTTATTTTCGGGTCCATGTCGAGGAAAGCTTAGAGTAACACGGTATTGAGATGCCACTGTTTCACAATGAGGTGTAGAGTTGGATGACAGTGTATTAATTATAATGGCGGATATTGGGGTGATAGAGTCTGCAGATGGGATCTGTGCAATATTTTACATACAGTAATAGAATCAATTCAGATATTGATATGAATTATGTAAATTCTGGTTTAAAAATAGGTATGTAAATTAATTTAGTAGAATTGTAGGTATCAAGCGACATACATTGGTTCACTCCACTGTTTCAAGCAAAGTATAAACACATATATCCTCCTGCAAAGTGGGTGGGGTTGAGTATAAACATATATGTGACTGGGTGGGGTTGAGTATAAACACACAAATGTGAGTGGGCAGGGTTTAGTATAAATTGGTGTTGTTTCACAAGAGCCAAATTTCCTACAATATTCTCTCTTCATATATTACTTTTGTAACTTTCATATAGTAAATATTTTATATGATAAAAAATCAACATACACTTGATATACATGTTTGTTGTTTGGATTGCTGTGTTAATCATTTAGTAACATAATAACCCTTGGGCTGCAATCGGTGCCCCAAAAAAACTTACTAAACAGAATCACTGAATCACCTGTCACTAGTCCGGTGCATCAAGGAAAATGGGGTGACCCATATTGTTAAACAAGCTGTGGTGGATAAAATAGCTTTTATGTTATGACCATTAGCAGTGCAGGTCATACATCTGTCAAACCTTTGGAATAAAAATTACCTGTTATATATTGTACGTGTTGTCTGATATACGCTTGAAACAGAAGGAAATAGAGTGACAGTGCAGGTTTCATACTATTCATTTGTTATACACTTAAAGAAGATTACAACAGAGAGACCGACACATAGTAACAACGCAGGTATTGTATTATAAATCTACCATAGCCATTATCACGTCTCATTACCACACAGAACATTCACAACTGTTTAGCTACATTATCTGAAAACAACACCAAATCATAAAATATAATATACCTCAGAGCAAATCATTTATATTAAAAGTACAAATTTATATAACTCATCCTAGAAACTAGACAAAGTCAGCAACATCATAATTTGCCATGTTATTTTGTTCTGACCATGCACTGTAAAGGGCACCATCCATTTCTGAAGCAACGGCATTGTCACCTCTAAGGTGATGCCTTTCACCGCCAATGGTTGCATCACATTCAGGACATTTACTCTCTACCATAGCTCCTCCACATTCAGATATGCAATATATGTGACCATTCGGACACTTGTACCAATGGCCTTGCTTGAACCCCATAGCACTGAGTATCTCCAATCTCTCTTCATTGCTGATTCCAAGTCCACCAACGAATTTTTGACTCTCTTTCAAGAGGTTTCTTGCTGCACTTTCTCTTTTTTTGTCAAACTTAACTGTCGTACTCAGCAGCCCTGATAATTCTCTGTATATATTCATTAAGGCCACATTTCGACACCCAGCATATTTCTCAGTCAGCTTCCAGAAGGCGGGCAAAACTGAGAGGCGCTGAAGTTCACAAGTAACTTCTTCCATTCTTTGTGATGAAATACGGAGTTGCTGCCTGAAGACTTGATGCACAACAAATCTGACTTTTTCCAGTATATATCTTGAATATTCATTATCTTGTTTAAGCACTGAGTTTGCTTTTTTTAGGACCTGAACTTGGAATTGAAGGAGATTTAGTTCAGAATCACAAAGGTGCCTAAAGTTTTGAATAACAGATGTTTCTAACATCTTCAATTCCATGGTAAACTCTGAATCCATTTCAATATCTGTAATGAAAGATGGAAAATATGCATTATAACAGTTGACTATATACAACTTAATATTAATTTTCAATATGAATAATCCTCTCAGGGCTGAGAGGATTATTCATTCATTGATTTTACAGCCCGTTTTCGTGATAACATAATCAAACAATATGCATTGTTTAATCTTAAATAAAATAATTTTGAGACAATTGAGTGAATTGAACTCGCATTCTGGTGGTTCGCAGACACCTGCCTTAACCGACTCTGCCACGATTCTATAAATGTCGACCAACCCGATACTCTGCTGAATTCACTGGCAGGTTCTGGGCACCAACTGGAGCCCAACCAGGGTTTTACAGTCGACCCGACCACACTCTTGCCTATGGTACTGGCGTTCACACTCGTGCGTCACATTCAAATTACAAAGAAATCGCATTAGCGTGATGTATGAATGAGAAAATCTGAATTTGGAATACCAAGTATGTAGGTTCGAGTCCTCCTTCAAAACTCCTACAGATTTTCTACATGCATGTAACCCTTATGTGTACATATATAGAGCACTTAGTGTAAATATGCGGTGGGGTTTATAATATTATTTACATCATCAAGAAAATAAACATATATATAGTTTTCAATAGGAAATTTTCCTCACACCTGATGCCATTGTTCAACTTAACAGTAAAATTTACCTGGGATGTCAACTCCTGTGGAAGGCATACAGCAATAGGTCTCTCGATTGCCTAGGGTGCAATAGGTCTCTCGATGGCCTAGGGGTGCAATAGGTCTGTCGTTGGCCTCGGAGTGCAACAGGTCTCTTGATGGCATAGGAGTGCAATAGGTCTGTCGATGGCCTAGGAATGCAATAGGTCTCTCGATGGCCTAGGAGTGCAGTAGGTCTGTCGATGGCCTAGGAGTGCAATAGGTCTGTCGATGGCCTAGGAGTGCAATACGTCTGTCGATGGCCTAGGGTGCAATAGGTCTGTGGATGGCCTAGGAAAGCAATAGGTCTGTTGATGGCCTAAGAGTGCAATAGGTCTCTCGATGGCCTAAGCGTGCAATAGGTCTGTCTATGGCCTAGGAGTGCAATAGGTCTCTCGATGGCCTAGGGTGCAATAGGTCTGTCGATGGCCTAAGAGTGCAATAGGTCTCTCGATAGCCTAGGGTGCAATAGGTCTCTCGATGGCCTAGGGTGCAATAGATCAGTCGATGGCCTAGGATGCAATAGGTCTATTGATGGCCTAGGGTGCAATAGGTCTGTCGATAGCCTAGGGTCCAATAGATCTGTCGATGGCCTAGGGTGCAATAGGTCTATCGATGGCCTAGGGTCAAATAGGTCTGTCGATGTCCTAGGGTGCAATAGGTCTGTCGATGGCCTAGGAGTGCAATAGGTCTCATGATGGCCTAGGGTGCAATAGACCTCTCAATGACCTAAGAGTGCAATAGGTCTGTCGATAGCCTAAGAGTGCAATAGGTCTGTCGATGCCGAAGGGTGCAATAGCTATTGCACCCTAGGCCATCATGAGACCTATTGCACTCCAAGGCCATCGCTAGGCCTCTCGATGGCCTAGGAGTGCAATAGGTCTCTCGATGGCCTTGGGTACAATAGGTCTGTCGATGGCCTAGGAGTGCAATTGGTCTGTCGATGGCCTAGGGGCAATAAGTCTGTCGATGGCCTAGGGGGCAATAAGTCTGTCGATGGCCTAGGGTGCAATAGGTCTGTCGATGGCCTAGGAGTGCAATAGGTCTCTCGATGGCCTAGGGTGCAATTGGTCTCTCGATTACCTAGGAGTGCAATAGGTCTGTCGATGGCCCAGGGGTACAAAGGGCTGTCGATATCCTAGGGGTGCAATAGGTCTCTCGATGGCCAAGGGTGCAATTGGTCTCTCGATTACCTAGCAGTGCAATAGGTCTGTCGATGGCCTAAGGTGCAATAGGTCTGTCGATATCCTAGGGGTGCAATAGGTATGTCGATGGCCTAGGGTTCAATAGGTCTCTCGATGGCCTAGGAGTGCAATAGGTCTGTCGACGACATATGGTGCAATATGTCTATCGATTGGCTATGGTGCAATAGGTTTCTCGATGGCCTAGGAGTGCAATAGGTCCCTAGATGGCCTAGGGTGCAATAGGTCTCTCGATTGCCTAGGAGTGCAATAGGTCTCTCGATGGCCTAGGAGTGCAGTAGGTCTGTCGATGGCCTAGGAGTGCAATAGGTCTCTCGATGGCCTAGGGTGCAATAGGTATGTCGGTGGCCTAGGAGTGCAATAGGTCTCTATATGGCCTAGGGTGCAATAGGTCTATCGATGGCCTAGGAGGCAATAGGTCTCTCGATGCCCTACGGTGCAATAGGTATGTCGATGGCCTCGGAGTGCAATAAGTCTGTCGATGGGCTATGAGTGCAATAGGTATGGCAATGGCCTTGGAGTGCAATAGGTCACTCGATGGCCTCGGAGTGCATAAAGTCTGTCGATGGCCTAAGAGTGCAATATGTCTCTCGATAGCCTAGGATGCAATAGGTCACTCGATAGCCAAAGAGTGCAATAGGTCACTCGATGGCCTCGGAGTGCATAAAGTCAGTCGATGGCCTAGGATTGAAATAGGTGTCTCGATAGCCTAGGAGTGCAATAGGTTACTCGAAGGACTAGGAGTGCAATAGATCTGTCCATGGCCTCGGAGTGAAATAAGTCTGTCGATGGCCTAGGGTGCAATAGGTCTGTCGATGGCCTAGGAGTGCAATAGGTGTCTCGATAGCCTAGGAGTGCAATAGGTTACTCGAAGGACTAGGAGTGCAATAGATCTGTCCATGGCCTCGGAGTGAAATAAGTCTGTCGATGGCCTAGGGTACAATAGGTCTCTCGATGGCCTAGGGTGCAATACGTCTGTCGATGGCCTAGAAGTGCAATAGGTTACTCGAAGGACTAGGAGTGCAATAGATCTGTTCATGGCCTCGGAGTGAAATAAGTCTCTCGATGGCCTAGGGTGTATTTGGTCTCTCGATGGCTTAGGGGTGCAATAGATCTGTCGATAGCCTAGGGTGCAATAGGTCTGTCGATGGCCTAGAAGTGCAATAGGTCTCTTGATGGCCTAGGGTGCAATAGGTCTCTCAATGGTCTAGGGTGCAATAGGTCTCTCGATGGCCTAGAAGTGCAATTGGTCTCTCGATGGCCTAGAAGTGCAATAGGTCTCTCGATGGCCTAGGAGTGTAATGGGTCTCTCGATGGCCAAGGGGTACAATAGGTCTGTCGATGGCTTAAGAGTGCAATAGGTCTCTCGATGGCCTAGGGGTGGAATAGGTCTCTATATAGCCAAGGAGTGCAATAGGTCTCTCGATGGCTTAGGAGTGCAATAGGTCTCTCGATGGCCTAGGGTGCAATAGGTCTCTCGATGGCTTAGGAGTGCAATAGGTCTCTCGATGGCCTAGGATGCAATAGGTCTCTCGATGGCCTGGCGAGTAATAGGTATGTCGATGGCCTAGAAGTGCAATAGGTCTGTCGATTGCCTAGGAGTGCAATAGGTCTGTCGATAGCCTAGGAATACAATAGGTCACTCGATGGCCTAGCTGTGCAATAGGTTTGTCGATGGCCTAGGAGTGCAATATGTCTGTCGATGGACTAGGGTGCAATTGGTCTCTTGATTACCTAGGAGTGCAATAGGTCTGTCGATGGCCTAGGGTACAATAGGGCTGTCGATATCCTAGGGGTGCAATAGGTCTCTCGATGGCCTAGGATGCAATTGGTCTCTCGACTACCTAGGGGTGCAATAGGTATCTCGATGGCCTAGGGTTCAAAAGGTCTCTCGATGGCTTAGGAGTGCAATAGGTCTGTCGATGACATATGGTGCAATAGGTCTATCGATGGGCTAGGGTACAATAGGTCTCTCGATGGCCTAGGAGTGAAATAGGCCCCTAGATGGCCTAGGGTGCAATAGGTCTCTCGATTGCCTAGGAGTGCAATAGGTCTCTCGATGGCCTAGGAGTGCAGTAGGTCTGTCGATGGCCAAGGAGTGCAATAGGTCTCTCGATGGCCTAGGGTGCAATAGGTATGTCGGTGGCCTAGGAGTGCAATAGGTTTCTATATGGCCTAGGGTGCAATAGGTCTGTCGATGGCCTCGGAGTGCAATAGGTATGTCGATGGCCTCGGAGTGCAATAAGTCTGTCGATGGGCTATGAGTGCAATAGGTATGGCAATGGCCTTGGAGTGCAATAGGTCACTCGATGGCCTCGGAGTGCATAAAGTCTGTCGATGGCCTAAGAGTGCAATATGTCTCTCGATAGCCTAGGATGCAATAGGTCACTCGATAGCCAAAGAGTGCAATAGGTCACTCGATGGCCTCGGAGTGCATAAAGTCAGTCGATGGCCTAGGATTGCAATAGGTGTCTCGATAGCCTAGGAGTGCAATAGGTTACTCGAAGGACTAGGAGTGCAATAGATCTGTCCATGGCCTCGGAGTGAAATAAGTCTGTCGATGGCCTAGGGTGCAATAGGTCTGTCGATGGCCTAGGAGTGCAATAGGTGTCTCGATAGCCTAGGAGTGCAATAGGTTACTCGAAGGACTAGGAGTGCAATAGATCTGTCCATGGCCTCGGAGTGAAATAAGTCTGTCGATGGCCTAGGGTGCAATAGGTCTGTCGATGGCCTAGGAGTGCAATAGGTGTCTCGATAGCCTAGGAGTGCAATAGGTTACTCGAAGGACTAGGAGTGCAATAGATCTGTTCATGGCCTCGGAGTGAAATAAGTCTCTCGATGGCCTAGGGTGTATTTGGTCTCTCGATGGCTTAGGGGTGCAATAGATCTGTCGATAGCCTAGGGAGAAATAGGTCTATCAATGGCCTAGGGTGCAATTGGTCTCTCGATAGCCTAGGAGTGCAATAGGTCTCTCAATGGTCTAGGGTGCAATAGGTCTCTCGATGGCCTAGAAATGCAATAGGTCTCTCGATGGCCTAGAAGTGCAATAGGTCTCTCGATGGCCTAGGAGTGTAATGGGTCTCTCGATGGCCAAGGGGTACAATAGGTCTGTCGATGGCT